CCACTGCGGTGAGACGCATGCCTCCCCTGTGCGCGCCTTCATCAACGCTGCGTCGTTTGAATGAAGGCTGCAGGCACCGCGGATGCACGCGTTTGCGTCGGTGAGGCGCGTGCCACTCCTGCTGAGAGCGAGGTTTCTCACTGGGCCCGTTCTGCGGTCTCACATTTATGCTGATGCGAGCGCTGAGAGGCGGTGCGCGCGCCTTCGTCAACGCCGCGTCGTTTGAACGAAGGCTGCAGGTGCCGCGGAAGCACGCGTTTGCTTCGGTGAGGCGCGTGCCGCTCCTGGAAGTGTGCAGCTCGGGCTGAAAACGAGTTATTCCACTGAACTTGTTCTGCGGACCACATTCGCTTCGACTGTTGTGTCAATCGAGCTTCTCGTCCTTATTTGGAGCAACGGTGATTCTGAAAAACCCTTTTTTTAAAGGCCACTGGTTCGTTTTGTGTGGAGGATGTGTGAAGGAGCCGCTGTGAGGTCATCCGAGCTGACAGACTGGCTAAAAAACAGACACTTTCATCATTAAATGATGTTTTATTCCAAAAACTCGTGTCATCTTTACACACATCCTCCACAAACCGTCATTTTAAATCATCTCCCCTGTGAGCTCTGCGGTTTGTTGTCCTAGGGCGCCGCCTGTTAGCGATCTCAGGGAAACGCTGAACCTCCGGTCGCCGAGATGAGAAAGGCTGATGTCTGACGGGCGGGGCTGGCATAGCGGAGCGGGAAGATGCTGCTGCAGCCGTGGAACGTCTTGAAAATGGTCCCGAACAGCGCGTCCGTTGTTGATGGGGGCCCTCCAACAAAAAAACTTTCTGCAGCTCCTCCGAGAGGGAGGTGCAGTGACGGGCCAGGTGGACCTCTGGAAAGCCTCATCCTCTGGCTGCGATGCGAGACCAGCAGACAATAAAAGAGGCGCACAGGTTGAGGATGACGTCAGCTGCCTTGCAAAGGGAGCGCTACGTCTCCTCCAGCCTCTTGAACGTTGTACGCCAGCAGCGCTACGTATTGTTCGCTGCGGCCGCCTGGAATGCACACTGGTGAGCTCTGTTGGTGAGCGACGTCACCGTCTGGTTATGCTTACCCGGAGGCGCAGGAGGCTGGTCCAACCTGGACATCTTTGCTCCGAAAGCCTCCCCCAGGCTCAGCTCCAGGGGGGCACCGAGGGAATTTCCACTCGGTGAAACCCCTCCACTCTGGTAATGGGCGCGAATGCGGGAACCGGCGCCCTTATTCTACCAGGACCGGCTGCGGCTTCGTCCCAGTAGGACGTCACTGCTGGGAAACAAGGTCAGATGGGATCAGAACAGCGAGCCGGAATGGAGCCCAGAAACCTTCCCGCTAGATCATCCGATCTGGGTGGGGGAAGGAGAGGGATGGAAAAAGTCCCTTCATGTCAGCTGCCTCCTGGATTATGCCGGGCAGCTCCAGAGGAGGGCACTGATGGCTGGGAGCAGTGTGGTCGCTGATGCGAAAAAAGGTCCGGGGGGGTGAGCATTCGCTCAGCCCCCCTCGTTCCGACACTATGCTCTCCAGGAGGGAGTGAGCAGCGGGGGGCTGCTGCTGACGTCGCCTGTCCCGGAGAAACCATCCGATTCGCTCCGAGAGTTGGCGAAAAAAGGAAAATTACAAGATGGCGTCGTCTAGCGTGTAGCGACCTGCCACTGAGAAATACTCCTCGGCGCTTACCTTGAAACAAGACTGCTCGTCTGCTTCTCCACGGGGAGGAGAACTCACCGGGACGGCAGGAGGTTGACGTGGCGGGGCCACAGGCAGTCTTAACAAAGGTTGGTCAAGCTAGACAACTTTCCTTCTTCATTCTTCTGACAGTGCTTTTAGCTTGCTGAAGAAAAATGGGAGCCGATTACCCGCTCTTAACGTAATTTTTATGGACCGGGTGGGGCCCACACAGCAGGTGTGCGTGGACTACATTTTTCAGTGCAATGCTTCGCATGACGGGATAAACCCACTAAGCGACAGCTCTTAAAGGGCAAAGCCTATACGAAATAGAACTTTTGAAAGCCATACTCTCACACATTTGAAATATGATCATCACAGACATGCAGCTGATGTCCATGGTGGAAGATGAAGGCTTCCAGAAGATCATCTACCTTTAATCCAAATTATGTTCTTCCTTCCAGATCCTACTTTGTAAATTCCATCCAGTTTTCCAATCCATAAAAAATATTTTACAGCAGTTAGATTTTCAGCTTAAGCAATAAAATACTTTTAAAAGAGGAATCCAATTGGTTGTTTATTTAATGTTCTTTTTTCATGTATTTGTATTACTCATAAAATTGTACAGTAGTTACTGCAGAACCTGACAAATTTTGCTTTCGATTAATCGCCGGAATAATCCATAGATTACTCGATTGCTAATATATTTTTTTTAACAACAGCCCTAGTTCATACCTTAGATCTTATTACTGTTTTTCTTTTACGTTTTATTGTGGGATGTAACTGGGACCCTGTGTACATAATTTCGTTCCACCACATGTGGTGCGAACGACAATAAAGAAACTCTGAATCTGAATCAGGCACCGCTGGGATTTGAACCCAGAATCTTCAGTTTACAAAACTGACGCTTTGACCGTCTAAGCTACAGTGCCTTTGATTTATTGTATGAATGGTTGAAACGTACATTTTATTTCAAATTAGATTGAGTGCCCGGAGAAAACCCTTTTACTTGTCCTGGTTTTGGGTCTGCATAGAGAGATCTTAATAACTTCTGCTGGAGTGGAACAGTTGGTCAAATTAGATTTTTTTTTTTTGGGTGGGATGAAACCGGAGTGCCCGGAAAAAACCCATATGTGCCCACAGAAATCCATTTCCTCTTCCTGGTGTTGGGTCTGCATAGAGAGCGCTTAATAACTGCAGGCAGACGAGTGCTGACTATCTGGTTCAATGCTCTCAATTAGTTGCTTACAGGCAGAACAAAAGTTTATAAGACGGTTGTTTACAAATGATGCAATCCTCGAGATTTTTGGAGCCTTTGGAGAGATTCCTGAGTCTAACAGCCTCAGGGTAGAAGCTGTTCCTCAGTCTAGTTGTTCTACACTTAATGCTCCTTAACCTCCTTCCTGAGGGGAGTGGGGCAAAAAGTGTGTGTGTTGGGTGAGCGGGGTCCTTCATGATGCAGGTGGCTCTAATCCTGCATCTGGAGGTGTAGATGTCTGTGATGGTGGGGAGGCTGACTCCAACATCTTCTGTGCAGCCTTCACCACTCTCTGCAAAGCTTTTCTTTCTGCAGCTGTGCAGCCTCCATGCCACACATTGATGCTCGAGCACAGGATGCTCTCCACTGCACACCTGTAGAAGGAGGTGAGGACTGAGCTTCCCAGACCAGCTCGTCTCAGCCGTCTGAGGAAGTAGAGTCTCTGATGAGCTTTCTTGATCAGGCTGGTGGTGTTGTTGCTCCAGCTGAGGTTGTCATTCATGTGTACACCCAAGTACTTGTAGCTGGAGACCACTTCCACCGCAGATCCTCTTATGTTCAGGGGGGTGTAGGTGTTTTTGTTCCTTCTGAAGTCCACAATCATCTCCTTTGTCTTCTTCACATTGATGTGAAGGTTATTCTCTCTGCACCAGCTCTCCAGGTGTTCCACCTCCTGCCTGTAGCTGGACTCATCATTGTTTGTGATGCATCCCACCACCGCTGTATCATCTGCAAACTTTACATTGTGACAGCCTGGATGGGGAGCTGCACAATCATACGTGAGCAGAGTGAACAACTGGTAAACTCCATCTACCAAACAAATAACACCTGCCCCACTAAAGTAGGTCCTCCTTATAAACAATTTAAAATACTTCATTTCTTAGCTTGCCATGTGTTGTTTGTTGTGTTTTTCAACCATTTTGACTGATAAATGTAAATGTACTGTTATCACTACGTGTTGGATACACTGTGATCAGCAGATCAGCAGCCAAACTTGGTTTCCATGAGCCAGGAAACGGAGTGTCTTGCTCCTTTATTCAGGTCTTTTTGACACCTTATAATTATTCACAATTGTGGCTTGAAAAGCTCAATGAAAAGGCCAACATTTTTCAGTCCGGTCATCTGGACAGTAGGAATGCGCGACATAAACGGTATACGGTAGAGATCTAACCGCAGTAATGCTGTGGCTGAAGTAAAATCAGAGTTGTCAGTTTAATCGTTACTTTTGTTTGTTGAAAACTGTGCATAAGTGGCGTTAGTCTTTTCTTCGAGAGCTAAGTAGCGAAGCTACAAGCTAACTACAGCCGGCTTGCCGTAGTGTTGCCTTATTCTGACGCATGCGCAACACGCTGTGTTCCATCGAAAGTTTTTTATTTTTTTTCCCATCGAAAGTTAAAGTAAGCTTTGGTCAGCTTTAGAGAAACCTGCTCTCTGATCTGTGAAAAGAACACTGTGTTGTGTGATTTTACTGCGAGACCCTCTGGTCAAAGCCACAGACTCATTTTGTGTCAGCTCTCTGATAGACAGGGATTACATCCAATCACATTGAAGCTCGCTTTGTCTTGACCAATCACAAACATGAAGGCGGGTCGTAGAAAGGAAAGCGGTCCAAATGCGATGCGGCTTGCGGTGAAAAATCTGCAGGTGATCGAGTTCGTCTCGTCTGTGGTCATGGCGAGACAAATACACTTTATTGGAGAGCGCAATTAAAAATAGGTGGTGATTCCCCCACAGACACACCTTGGAGCGAATCGACATGGCAGCGCGTGATAGCCACATGACCGATTTCAGTCGCTCTACAAACTATTTTAATTAGTGTCAAAAGTGCAGACTTTAAACTGCACAACAGTTTTTTTTAAATCAACTTGATAAACCAAATAAAACCAGAGTTATGATCAATAATCCACGCTGTTTTTTTTTTTTCTTCTGAAAATCGTCATATCTGAAGACAGTCCCAGGGACAAAACACCACCATCACCCTCCACCTTCACCTCCCACCCCACTCCGAACAGATAAACAACCTCCCACCTCCTTTTTGACGGAGGCGCCCAAGTTATTTGTCAAGCGCAAAAAAAAAAAAAAAAATCTGCGGCAAGAAGAAAGAAAAGACGCAGAAGTTGAATGGAGTTCACCGCCATGAAGTCCCAGCGGGAGCGGGAGGAAGCCATGAGGTTTGACAGATTTCATATTTGGCGTGTTTAGTTTCATAGTTAGGACGTAGTTTAGTCAGTTTTAGTGAGTTGGAGTCAAAACAATGACTCCCTTTCTGGACCCCCCCACATGGCAACACCGCGGTATGGCAACACATGACCTATGCTTCTAAAGGTAAAGAGCTAGAAGTAGACACAAAATTTTACTCATGCGCTTTGAAGAAAACGAAGGAGATGGTCGTGGACTTCTAACGGACCCACCATCACGGACATCTACACCTCAAGATGCAGGAAGAGGGCCACCTGCATCATGAAGGACCCCACTCACCCAGCACACACACTTTTTGCCTGGAGGTTGAGAAGCATTAAATGTAGAACCAGTAGGCTGAGGAACAGCTTCTACCCTGAGGCTGTTAGACTTGGGCTTTAACAGACTACTCGAGTGATCGACGGGTCGATTCCTAGGACATCTATCGAGTTTGTCGAGTATTCGCAGTGACATCGTTGCGTCACGTGATCCGCACCGGGCTACTAGTAGAAGCTACCAAATGGATTCCTCCCAGCAGATGGACTGAACGGAGCAGGCCCAGTCTTAGCAAACAGGTAGAAACGCATCAATAGTATGAAAATATTTCACTAAAGATGAATCTTCCGGTTCAACTACCGTAAGGAAAACAGAAAACCAATCAACTTCCTTGGGAATCGCTGTTATACCATATTTTGTGACCACCGTATATTGTGACCGTAGGGGGCGGTGTTGCATGCACTGTTGCAGGTCACAGAATATGGTGTAACACCGGGTCCAATGATCGAACCAGAACCAGTTTCCTCTGACCTTGTTTCACAAACTAAAAGCAAAAAACATTCATCTCTAAACCTATAAAAAAACCTATAAACATATTAATCTCTAAACCTAATGCGCAGCTGGCGGTGGTGCGGGGTGGTCGTCCGCCCCACTGTTTTTAGTTTAGTTTTTGACGTGCAGCACGTTCCTTTCACTTTTGCAGCTTAGTAATAATAACTAATAGTTTTGGTTTTCATGTGACTTGTTTGCGGTATGATAAATGCTAGGAGCGTAATATACGCTGCCAACGTTTTGTTGGTCTTTTTTGTTGTTGTTGTAAATAATAATTGACATTTTTTTGTGGGTTTATTTTTTTCATCTCGAGAGCCTATGACATCATCAACTATTCGAGTTCTACTCTAGTTTTATTATGTTAATATCGAGTTTAAAAATTATGTAGTCGTTCAACCCCTATGTTAGACTCATGAATATCTGATTAGGATAATCAGTCATTCATTCAACCTTTATTTATACAGGTTAATCCCATTGAGCCTCGGCGACTCATTTACAAGAGAGACCTGAATTATTAACAAAGAGTGATGACAACAACGACAACCATAAAAGAGGCATACAATATATTTTTTAACAAGTTAAAATAAAATGGCACCCAAAAGGAAAAGTAGAAAAAAACAGCTAGATTGTAAGGCGCTGTAGAAAATTAAAAACAGGAACACCGTGAAAAAAATAAAATAAAATCATGTTGCTGCTGATCTGTTTCATGTTGTTGTGTTCATGCGTGCTCATACTCCTGTTCGACGTTATGTTTTTATGCTATTAGTGCTTAGCATATTTTTAGTTGATGTTTTTCTTAGTTCATATCTTAGATTTTATTACTGTTTTTCTTTTACATTTTAATTGTTGACTGTAAGTGGTACCCTGAGTACACAATCACGTTCCACCACATGTACCACGTATAAACTCAGACTCTGACTTTGAGCATGCGCAGTAAGTGTCGCCGCGGCGCGTTGACGTCACTCCGCCGCCAGAGGGCGCTGCTCGCTTTATTAGCAAGATGGCGTCTACATGAGTAACGGTACTGCTCGGATGGCGTCTCTCAGCGTCTGCGCCGCGGTCTGTGCGGCTGTGAGGCAGCTGTAACCCGGCGAGATGGTAAAAAGAAACGTTTACCTCGGCGTCGTGTCCGTTCTGTTATTTTTTTTTTTTGCGAACCTTTATGAAAAGACGGCTCGGCTACACGGAGGCTAGCATTAGCCGCGTTCAAATTAGCCAATTATTAGCCCAGCGTCGCGTAGCTGGACACGACTGGAGTTTTGTGCTTGTTTGTGATGTTTTCCTGTGAGTTTGACGCGGTCTTTATGTGTTTTTAGTGGGAGCTTTTCTGGTTTCCATGGGAAAACTGAGGCTCAAACCATGCGGCACCACTGGCTGCTTCTCGGGGCTTGTGGCTGGGTTCTGCTCATCCTGATGTTCGTCAGCAGGTTCATCAGCTTCAGAGCTGGAGAGGGTAAACAATCTTTTCTTTTAGGTTCATCACCACCGGCAGCTGGTCCAGGTTCTTTATTGTCATTCGCATCGTGGTACATGAGGTGGAAAAGAAACTGCATACAAAGATCTAAGATATACACCAAAAACTACTAATGTAATATATTACAGTATATTAAAAATCAGTCCTCATTGAGGGAACACTGCAGGTAATGATGTCCTGGGAGCGCACGCTGTAGCTGCACTCACACAGAGACATGTAGGAGGAGATGTATGAAGGCAGCAGACCAAGAAGTGATTTAAAGATGAAAATGTACCAGTGAGAGAGTCTGCGTGAAGTTAATGATGTCCAGTTAACCAGTGGTGCAGTGGTGGGTACGATAATCACAGCCAGTTCTGAATCTTAGTGCACCATGATAGACAGCATCCAACATCTGCAGGGTGACTGTAGGAGCGTTCATGTAAATAATGTCACCGTAATCAATGGAGGGAAGGAAAGTCGCAGTTACAAGGCGTTTCCTAGAATTCAGAGTTAGACCGGATCTGTTTCTGACAAAGAAACCCAGTTTAACTTTCAGTTTCTTTACCAAGTTTTCCACGTGAAGCTTAAAAAATAGTTGCGTGTCAACCAAGATACCCAAATATTTGTAGGAACCGACAAACTCAATCGGGGCACCATTTGAGGATGAAATCAGAGGAAGAACTGCTGGGATCGACTTCATGTTTGAAAAATGCATCCCTTTGGTTTTTTCGGCGTTTAGGACAAGTTTGAGACGGAACAAATCAGACTGGATGGTGTCAAAGGTGGATTGTAAAAGCTGGAAAGCCTTAGCAACTGTTTTAGCTCGACAATAAACAACTGTGTCATCAGCATAGAAATGTAAGGCTACATCAAGGATGCTCTGACCTACATTACCTATGTAGATTGTAAAGAGGGTGGAACCTAAGACTGAGCCTTGTGGAACACCACTGTTAACTGTTAAATAACTGGATGAAACACTGTTATGTAGAACACACTGCCTCCGATATGAAAGATAATTAGAGAACCAACCAATGTTGTGATCTGAGAAACCAATTTCTGAGAGTTTGACACAAGATGTTCTGATCCACAGTGTCAAAAGCTTTAGACAGGTCTAAGAAAAGTGCAGCTCAATAATCCTTAGCGTCCAGTGCTTCAACGACGTCATTAAGAACCTTCAGTGAAGCAGTGGTTGTGTTGCTTCCTGAAACCAGATTGATGTGGAGGTAAGATGTTAAAAAGAGTCCAGATACTTTTTGATTTGAGAGTTTATCAGTTTTAATGCTCCTCAACCTCCTGCCTGAGAGGAGCGGGGCAAAAAGGACAATACCTCCACCTTCGGCACCCTGTCAGGTGCTTTTTGTAACTCCACAAAGACACAGTGGAGTTCTTTCTGGTCCTCTCTGTACTTCTCCATCAGCATCATCAAAGCAAAGATGTATATTGTATATGATGTATGTAAACATATGATATATAATGTAAATGTTTTATATTCTCAGGTTTTGGGGAGAGACCAGGTCAGAGTTCAACACTGGAAGGGGTGAATGTGGTGAAACCCATTCCTGCGTTCAGCCTGGACAAACAAGACCCAACTCCGTCCCACCAGGTGACGACTTATTCCTTTCTAACACAAATCTAGTCGGTGATTTTGCTAACAGAAGGGCTCGGTCTTCTCGTTGATCTTCGTTAGCCTCAGGCCTCCGTGGTGCCCACAGCGGCCGCTTGGCAGGCAGTTGCCGACAAGCGTCTCGAGCTGCTGTCCACCGTGTGTAAAAACAGCAGCCTGAGGAATCTGACTCACGCATCCATCAGCAAGTTCGTCCTCAACCGCATCTTTGTGTGCGACAAACACAAGATCTTGTTCTGCCAGACGCCTAAAGTGGGCAACACGCAGTGGAAAAAGGTGCTCATCGTGCTCAACGGTGAGTGCAGCGGTTAATTTGTGCTTGAGCGTCGTGTTCTCTTTGGGTTTTTTTAAACTGGATCGTTTTGTGTTGTTGCGGGCAGGTGTTTTCACCAGCGTGGAGGAGATCCCCGAAAGCCTCGTCCACGACCACGAGAAGAACGGCCTGCCCCGCCTCTCGTCGTTCACTCCACAGGAAATCACTCACAGGTTCGCGCGCCGTTTTAGGCTTGGAGGCGTTCTTTGTGTTTTCTGTGAGAGTCTACGTGCAGATAATGACGGCCAACTGACCAATGAGTTCAGTGATGGATGTGGTAGTTACAACCACTTGTGAATTTTAGCGCACCGGGATAGACGATATCCAACATCTGCAAGCAGCTGTCGGGGGCGTTCATGTAAATAATGTCACCGTAGTCTATGGCTGGTAGGAAAAGTAGCAGCTACAAGGTGTTTCCTAGTGTTCAAAGTTAAACAAGATGTATTTGTTAAAAAGAAACCCAATTTTAGTTTCAGTTTCTTTATCAAGTTTTCCATATGTGGTTTGAAAGAGAGATGTGCATCGACTAAAATTCCCAAGTAGTTGTAAGAATCCACAAACGCAATAGGAACACCATGCATGGATGAGCTAGGAGGAAGGACTGCTGGGACCGACTTCCTGTTTGAAAACCACATCCTTTTTGGTTTTATCAGCATTTAGCACCAGTTTGAGACGGAACAAATCTGACTGGATGATGTCAAATGCAGACTGTAGAAGCTGGAAAACCTTAGCAACTGTTTTAGCTCGACGGTAAACAACAGTATCGTCAGCATAGAAACGCAAGGAGGCGTCAGGAATGTTTTTGACCTACATGTATAAAAAAAAATTTGTAAAAAGAGTGGGACTTAAAACTGAGCCTTGTGGAACACCATTAGTGATGTTGGTTAGCTAGGTGGCTACCTAACGGTCTTAAACCGAGTCGAACTCTTCAGAAGCCCTCGCTGACTCGAAAATTCTTGTTTTGCTCTCAACAGGTTAGACGCTTACTTCAAGTTTTTCATCGTGAGAGACCCCTTCGAGCGACTGATTTCTGCCTTCAAGGACAAATTCGTAAAGAACCCCCGCTTCGAGCCGTGGTACAAGCACGACATCGCCCCGGCCATCATACGAAAATACCGCAAGAGCCACCGGGAGAGCGACCTCGCCGCCTCCGGCCTGCACTTTGAGGACTTCGTCCGCTACCTGGGCGACGCGGAAGGCCGGCGGCGCATGGACCGGCAGTTCGGCGAGCACGTCATCCACTGGGTGACGTTCGCCGAGCTGTGCGCGCCCTGCGAGATCCACTACAGCGTGGTCGGGCACCACGAGACCCTGGAGCAGGACGCCCCCCACATCCTGCGAGCGGCGGGGATCGAGCGGCTGGTGTCGTATCCCACCATCCCTCCGGGGATCACTCGCTACAACCGGACCAAGGTGGAGCACTACTTCTCCGGCGTCAGCAGGCGGGACGTCAGGCGCCTCTTTGCACGCTACCAGGGCGATTTCTACATGTTCGGTTACCCAAGCCCCGACTTTTTACTGCGTTGAAGCGATCCACGTGGATTAAACGCCTATTCTCTTAAGAAATACTCGAGATCGTTGTGTCTTATAAATCCGGCAGGAGGCTGCACCTTAAAAATCTGCCATTTTTTATTGACTTTTTAGTGAAAACGACTGACGGGCTGTTTAAAGTGCTACTGAGGGAATCCCTATTTTTCTCGATGGAACTGGAGGTCAACTTAAATACCCAACACAGGTTTTAATAACAGTCATATTTACGTTTTAATATTTATTAGTCATTTATCTGTAACCCCCGGTGATGTAGCGATCCGTTTGCTCTGTCTCGGTCTCCAGTTTCTATTCTCACAACTTTAGAAGCAATAGAGAAGCACCTTTTATAGTTTTTGCTTCACGCAAGACACGCTGACGTAAGACGACGTGTCGCAGATTCAAAGATACAATATGAAAACTCGTGTAGCTGTTCTGGATCTTCCGTTAGTAAGAAATATAAATAAGTGTCTGCGCAGCGTTTGAAAAGGTCATTTTTCTACCAGAGCTGTGAGTAAATGTTCCTAACTGGCAGTTTGAGGTTTTATACGTCGCGTGTGTCTATTTATAATAAAACTGAGACCAGTGGAGCGAGCCGCTTCACAGGCAGAGGAAAAATAACTAGTTTTAATAAATGTTCACCGATTCTTTTGGTGTGGTGTTTTTGTGATGATGTCGGCCTTTATCACGATGATCCAACGCGACTTTATTGTGGGAATGTTTATGAAGCGTTCACACTCTTCTGATCCTGTTTGTTATTCCGGGTTCCTTTTAAACTATTCCGTACGTTTCTCAGCATCTTTCTCGTCCCGCAGTTTTCAGCCGTTTCAACAAATCCTAAAACGTTTTAGCTCTTTCAAGACAATCCTGCTACGACTCTTGGTGCAACTTTAGCTTTTTGAGATATTTAGCCTTTTCTGTCATTTTTTTTTTTTCCCCTCATAGAAAATGTATTGAGCTCATTTTACATCCTTCAAATCTTTAGATCTTTTACTGCTCCTTTCACATTTTGTTCCGATTCAGCTTCTTTCAGCTTCCTTCTGCTAATTTAAACTTTTTCAGCTACTTACAGCTGTTTTATGCTCCTTTCAGATTATTTCTGCTAACTACATTTGTGTGTCTCCTAACTTTCTTCTCATTTCAGCTTGTTATGCTCTTTAGCTTATTTCTGCAAGTTTCAGCTTTTTCTGCGATTTTAGCTACTATTTAGCTGTTTTGCTATTTTTCAGCTAATTCCACACTTTTTTCACTCGTTTATAACCCATAGCCTAATTCAGCAAAAATGTGTTCTTTCCACTTCTACTAACTTCAGCTTCTTTCTGCATTTTTAGCTACTTCTCAGCTGTTTTTTTTTTTTTTTCTAATTTCAGCTTTTTTCAGATAATTTCCACTTTTTTATGCTCATTTCCGCTTCTTTCAGCCTAATTGGACAAACATGTTCTTTCTGCTTTCTTCTGCTAATTTAATCTTGTTCTACCGTTTTTAGCTACTTTGTAAATATATATTTTTTAGCTCCTTTCAGCTGTTTTCAGGTAAACTAAAGCTTTTCATGGGAACTCCTATTTTCAGCCTAATTAACGTATTTCTACTAATTTAAGCTTGTTGTGCTCCTTTTTATGTTCTTTCTGCTAGTTTCAGTTATTTCAGCAGTTATTTAGCTGTTTTGTGCTATTTGTAGCCTTTTCAGCTTATTCCACTTTTTTAATTTATTTTTAATTTTTTATAGCTCATTTCAGCTCCTTCCACTCCTTCTGGTAGTTTAAGCTTTCTGCCTTTTCAGTTAGTTTTTTGGTTAATTCAGCATTTTTTAAGCTAATTTCCTAAGTTTTGTCTTGATTTCTGCTTTTTTAAACTTAATTCAGCAAACGTATGTTCTTTTTGATTTCTTCTGCTAATTTAGGATTGTTCTTCTATTTCAGCTACATTTCAGTATTTATTTTTTTAGCTAATTTCAGCTGTTTTTCAGCAAGTTCTTCATCAACAAGCAATCATACGTCGCTCTAGATTTATTTGACTTCACTTCCACAGGCTCGGGGTGCCTTCAGCCACAGCCCGGTGTCTAAACTAAGTGTATTGGAGCTCGTTTGTTCGCAGCGGTGCCTCCTTTTTTCGTGTTTTTAAGAGCATCGTTGTGTGTCTGCCTGTAAGCTTCAACTATGTAGTTTGTCCAGAGCAGGAAAGCAGGATAACATTAAAGTTTGATGGAAAATGGAAGGTTAGATTCTGAATTGTCACTTTGTGCAGTGGCATGAAATGTCCACACGGTGGCAGCAAAGCGTCACCAATCTGACCTGGAGAACTCCAAGTAGCTTGAACCCTTGACCTGAACGCCTTCAGGCTGGACTTCTGCAACGTCCTGTTGCTATCAAGGAAAAAACAAACATGCTCATGTGTGAAAAACTCACAAGCTGCAGAGTTTAACCAGATGCATATTACCGTCAAACTTGCCAAACCGGTTTTACAGCTCCTAGGTCTGATTTGATTCAGAGAGCTTCAGGAAAGTAGTTTTATTTTGTCAGGACTTCAAGCTCTGCCAGGTTTCTTATCTCCTGCTGCCTGACTGGTTCATCCTGTCTTTTAATTTGCACGTCGAGCCCAGAAGTGTTGAAGCAACAGATCAGTTTTCTCTGTTTGGACATTTTGTCGACTTACCGTCTCCTACTTTGTCATAAAACACCCAGAGCGTGACTGTTTGCTGCTTACACAACAACCTACTGCACAGTCTGCAACTGCTTGAGAAGAGTTTGCGTTATTAGGGTTGAAACGTATTGATCCACAACTTTGCCTTTTTATTATTAGGATGGAAACCTCCAAGGACCCTGCGTGTCGTCAAATGCAAAAGACAGAACCCTTGTTGCTTTGCTCCTAGATTTCACTCAGGTGCACAAACTAACACAACATCACTGCTTGGACTGCCACACCCCGATTATCAATATTGACCTGAGGTCTCGGCATGGATGCTGTGTGATGGGGGTCCTGTCTGTCTCACCTGGCGTACCTTCTGGCTGGTGTGGAGTGCTGGGTGGGCCAGAGAGAGACAGAAGCATGCGGGACAGGAAGTGAGGAACGCTGGAAGAGTTGTCCTTTCAGTGGAAATGAAAAAGATGAGTGCTTAAAAAAAACCACATCAGAATTAGACCCAGTTTTGCTATGTGTGATAGTACGATGAGAAGCAAAAGACTTTCCTAAGAGCCTAATCTGAAGAGACTAAAATGCATCTGTATGCCAAAAAATGACTTTTTGTGAACAAAAACCTTTTGTTGTTCACAAAAACAATCAAATCTCCACCCCTCCTTCATAAAAACACTGCCCCAAGTACCACTGTAAGATGTAATATTTACCATAATTATTTTGGTAACTGCTTGCAGATGCTTAAAACTAACTTAAAAACAAACTTAGCTTAAATTTTTTTAATAATAATAAATCACTAAAAATGGCCTAAAGTGCTATTTCCCAGTTTGCAAAGCATATATATACATAGGTACAGCATGAAGAGGAGGGGGCCTAAGACTGAACCCTGCAGAACACCACACAAAAGAGGAGCGGAGGAGGACACGTGATTACCAAGCAGGGAAAAATAGTTTCTCTGTAAATCGTTTAATTGTTGTGTAATCCTCGTTCTTCTTACCTGAGTTGGTTCGTTTTTAAGAACAGAAGAGAGGCTTTTATGTTGAAACACATCCATACTCAACAAAATGAGACTTGCAAAAGCATTCTTTTCCACAAATGTGAACAAAAACCTTTTCTTGTTCACATAAACAATCAAATCTCCACCCCTCCTTTATTAAAAAATAATAAATAAAAACACTGCCCAAAAACTACCAGAAAATGTAATATTTACTCTAATTCTTTTGGTAAAGGCTTGAAGATGCTAAAAACTAACTTCTTTTTTTTTAACACCATAGCTTCAAATGTTTTAATAATAATAAAACACTAAACATGGTATGAATTATGTCCCAGTTTGTGAAATATATGTACAGGTACAGCGTGAAGAGGAGTGGGCCTAAGACTGTGCCCTGCGGAACCCCACACAAAAGAGGAGCAGAGGAGACACATGGTTACCAAGGAGGGGACAATATTTCCTCTGTAAATCACGTTTAATGTCTGTATAATCTTCATTCTTCTTACCCGAGTTGGTTCGGCTTTAAGGAATGGAAGTGAGGCTTTAATGTTGAAACACGTCCATACTCAAAAAAAAATGAGACGCGCAAAAACACTCTTTTCCACAAATGTGAACAAAAACCTTTTATTGTTCACATAAATAATCAAATCTCCACCCCTCCTTTAAAAAAAAACTCTGCTCAAAAACCACCAGAAGATGTAATATTTACCATAATTCTTTTGGTAAAGGCTTGGAGAGGCTAAAAACACAATTTTTTAAATTTAAAACAACATAACTTCAAATGTTTTAATAATAATAAAACACTAAAAATGGCCTGAAGTGCTATTTCCCCGTTTGTATATATAAATATATATATATTTCTTAAATTTTAATGAGAAGAAGACAGAAGTCATGTTGTTTCCACCTAATGGCACGATTAAGAACCGCTGTATCGACCTTTGCTCTCTAGCCCCGTTAGAGAAACAAGTTGTCACTAACCTGGGAATGAAAATGGACCCTTCCATGAAACTGAATAGTTAAATCCTGTTTTATTCTTCAGCTAAGGTGACTCTAAATTGAAGCCCATACTTTCCAAAAGTAACCTTGAAACAGTATAATGCTTTCCTAACACAGGCTTGACTACTGCAATGTTCTTCTTTATGGAGTCAGTCAGACCTCTATTGCACGTTTACAACTGGTTCAAAATGCTGCAGCCTGATTTTTAACTGGTACAGGCAAAAGAGAGCACATTAACCCAGTTCTGGCCTCCCTTCACTGGCTCCTGGTTCACTTCAATTCATTTTAAATCCTTCTGCTTGTTTTTAAATCTCTGAACAGTTCTGCCCCATCCCATCTCTCCGATCTGCTGCAGCCATATCTCCCACAGCGCTCTCTGAGGTCAGCAGACCAGAGGCTTTTATTGGTTCTAGGAACCCATCTTAATCTCAGAGGTGACAGGGACTTCTCTGCTGCAGGTCCAACACTTTGGAATGAGTTACCACTGAAGACTCAAACTCACTCTTATTCCCTGGCTTTTGACACCGAGCTGGTTTAACTTCTATGATGTTAATCATTCTTATCTTTACTTCTGTGGATCTATGTATTTTTTGCTATGTCCGTTGCTTGTTTTGTTTTGTTGTACAGCACTTTGGTTGGCCTTGTTGCTGTGTTTAAGTGCTTTATAAATAAAGTGGTATGGTACATAAACACATTTTTCCAGTTAATCATGTGGCGCTTGTTTAAAAAGAAAAGTGTCCCTCTGAAACAAAACTTTTCCCACTCCTGGCAAAGATTCCTGATTAATTCAAGCACAATTTAAGCCATATAAAGCAGGGGGAATAGTAATTCGTGTTTTATTTTCGTGTACAGTAATCCTCATTCTTACAGGAGTTGGCTCGACTTCATGGAACGGAAGTGAGGCTTTTATGTTGAAACAGCCAACCGGAAGTGACAGTGGCTTCCGCTAGCTTGACAACCGTTGAGGAGAGGGAAGCGAAGCGAGCGGGGTAGCTCGCTGCCACCTCAACATGGAGTAGCCGGAGCCGAGCGGTTTTTAAAGCCGAAGAGCGGATTCCGTGGACGGGAACACCCGGCGTCGTCTCGTTTAGTTCACCCTCCGGAACCCACGCAAATGATACAGCGGCCATTTGTTCGCAAAGTCGACGAAAAGCCCGGCTTTTATTTGAAAGATGGCGAACGACTCCCCAGCTAAAAGTCTAGTAGACATCGACTTGGCTTCATTGCGGGTGAGCGCTGCCGACCTGATGTTTTTCTGTTTTGTTTGTCGCCTTTTAATTAACGTCTTTCGGCTAAAACAGCCCCTCTTTATTCTGGTTATCGTGCTCAACTTTTAGCCTGTTTTTGTTTTTTTGTTTTTGTCGTTTCTGAATGTTGTAAATAAAGTGCAGAAAAGGACCGTTAGCGAGGTGGTGCCTGTCTGCTGTTCCTTTGTTCCACATGCACTGGGCTCGCAGGGCACACCAGGGCGCAACAGCTGGCTTTATCTGGACACTTCTTCATGTTTATGTGCTTTAAAGTAACCCGACTTCTGTCTTGGCTTCTCTTCAGGACCCAGCTGGGATATTTGAGCTGGTGGAGGTGGTTGGAAATGGCACCTATGGACAAGTATACAAGGTTGGTTGGAGGCTCAGAGCATGGCCTGTTGTGTTTCCACAAAAAGCAGAGCAGTGGTTTCCTCTTAAAGTCCCAACTGTGACATTTAAGGGTGTCCAAAGTGCGGCCCGCGGGCCATTTGCGGCCCTTGGTGCCACTTTGTGCGGTCCACTGGTCTCATTTTGGCCGGCCGATGCACGCTTTCTGTTGGTAATCCCTTTTTTTTAATGTAATGTTTAGGTTTAACAGCAAAGCGGATGGCAAACAATCTTCTCAAAAAGAGCAATATTAAGTAAAATGCACACCTTTGGTTATAATCTTTTTATTTTCACTTCGTGGTAAAAAAATTTACCGATTTCTACCAGAAAGGAGACTTTTGGAGAACGAGTCTTAAAGCTTGGCTAAATGTTGCAGTTGATAAAATAACCAAGAGGGAAACTGGACGTTTTTAAATGAATATGACATGGTGTCATCTGCATACGAGTTGATGCGCTTTATCAAACCTGTGACTTTGTTGTAGCGACTGAGAGCTGGACGATTTTTCAGAACTTCCATCAGCCTTTTGGGCCATCCATGGTTCATATAAAGCTTAGTGTTTATGAGGTTTTAAGGTTTTGGATCTACAACTAGGCCTGTCGTGATAAACAATAAATCGATTAATCGCACGATAAATAAATTATCGACCTCATTTTCATTTATCGGCTTTATCGTTTCTTTGTCTCTTTCTACCAAAGACACTGGTTGACAAAAGGCTCAACTCCAGTGTTCTTCAGTGACCCCTCCCCTTCTCTTTAAAATCCATTTTAACCGTCCAAAATTACGTTTTTGGCTCATTAAATGCAGCTAAGCTAACAGGCTAACATCGGAGAAAAACCCTCCGTCTTGTCGAAGCTCCAAAAATTCACGGTTGAAACCCGTGCCTTCGTCTAAAGAGTTGTTTTTCTCTGCAAAAAGAAGCTGAGAACTTGTTTACTGATTTTTTTTTTAATTAAAAGCTTTGTGTGAAAAATGCTATGCTAAAGAGCTCAAATCACACTTGAGCATCCACCATTTTGATAACTGAAATACAGGAAGGAGAGACAGCCCATGTCACGTCAAGGGGCCTCCCTCCCATCACCATCCATCCTTTGGGTCAAACTGTCTTGTACTGCCATCCGGTGGTCAACAAAGGTACTACACACAACAATTAACCATAATTTCTTCTTAAATTTGACAATAATTACTAATATTTGTCCAATTTCAAACAATATTATCGTTTATCGCAATAACTTCTGAGACAATTAATCGCCCAGCAACATTTGTTATCGTGACAGGCCTATCTACAACAATTTTAAAACTCTTTTCTCCACCAATATTAGTTATTATCTCCAAATTATTGTTCATGTTGAGAGTTAAATTCACATTTTGTGGCCCTCGAGCCCGTTCATCTGGATAGTTTTGGCCCACACCTGAAAGGCTCTGCCGGCCTCATGTTTGGGTTGAAGGAAGCACAGATTCAGTAACGGTTGCGCTAATGGTTGACTCGGACCTTTTTCAGTCCGATGCATCACCTGGATTTACTGAAAAGCGTGAAATCCTGAAACTAATTCTTTTGGCCCCTTCTCTCTTGAGTTCTTATTTTGGTTCATTTAAGAATTATCCAATCACCTTTTAAATATGGACATTTTTCCAGCTCGGTGAATGTGCTCCTGGTGTCACACTTCCCTTCTTAAAATGGAAAGATTATTAAGAAGGGAGAGTAACAGAAATACGTCTGCGCTCTTGTTTCTTTCAGCGTATTAATTGGCGGAGGCGGCATTTTGCTGCTAAATGACGTTTACCAGCACCGATATGTAGTTTAACGAGTTTGGCATTAATTGTTAATAGTCTTAAGGGTTTAGGAGGGAAAGTAAAATGGCAAACTAAGCTGAGTATTTAATTCCTACAGTGCTCCAGTGACCTGCTTTCAATGCCCCCCCGGCGTAATAACCTCCCAGCATCTCCCCCTGCTTCCAAACACGGAGTTAGCTCGTGTGTTTGTGCACTCACCTGAAATCTGCTCTTTAAATTGGGATGCTTACGTGCTATCTCCTCACCGGACATATTACACAGGATTACAGCCCCCCCCCCCCCCCCCCCCCCCCCCCCCCCGGTCCATCAGTTCAGTGGCTGCCGCGTTCGTGTGGACAGTGAGCATGTGCAGCGGGGCTGGAGAGACGAGGAGGTGGTGTTGCAGCTGTCCAGCTCCAGACAGAACCGGCCCGCCGCTCTCACAAAGCTCGGCTTGTCCCCCTCGTTCGTTTGGGACTCTGTCAGTCACTTGGATGCACAAAAAGGAGGTGTTTGTCTGTGGGGTTTCAGAGTCCGACCAACTGAAGACTCACAACAGCGCCCCCCCCCCCCCCCCAACTGAATCGAGGAGGGGGTCTCCCTCGGAGGCCTTTTCTGCTTTGTGCAGTGCTTGGTCACAGTTTGCGAGCCCCATTTTAAAAGGCACAATGTGACTGAGGTTCTTGATATTTGGTGACTTTTTAATCCTTGGAGACAGTTCTTCGGAGTTCTTTTGTTAGTCAAATAATCTCAGAGAGGAGAACATCTGAGTCCAAATCTATTAAAAAAAAAGTTCTGATTCATGCTCAATAATCCAGGTAGAAACATCTAACAAGGCTGAGTCAGGTCCTCTGGATGGATTCTTTGTTGAAACGTTTCGTCGTTCATCCAAAGGACTTCTTCAGTCTGAGGAACTGCAACAAACTCAGTCTTATAAACAGCACCTTCTCGTAGTGGATCAACCAGTTTGCTGATGACATCCAGAACCAGCTGTAGTATGTTCATTGCTTTATCAAAAGCAGTTGACACTGCGAATCATCATATCTTAATGCAAAAACTGTGCAAAAGCAGAGCGAAGACACTTTGTGGAGTTCCTCAAGGCTCCATTCTTGGACCGTTGTTACTTCTGATTTACATAAATGATTTATCAAATGTTCTTTCGCCAATCATGTTTGCTGATGACGCAACGCTGATTCTTTCTCGTTCACATTTTGATTCGCTGTTGGAAAACACGAATCTTGGCTTGAGTGCCTACGCTTCACGGTTTAGAAAGACCACACCATACCATACCATACCAATTTATTTATATAGCACTTAAAACAGCAACAAGGCCAACCAAAGTGCTGTACAAAAGAACCAAACATGCACAGCAGACAGGATTGGATTAGTAGAAAAATGCATAAATCGATTGGTATAATAGAAGGTTATTCATTATATCACTTCAGAATGCTTGCTTACACTTTATTATAGTCTGATATACCCATATCTGTCTTATTGACATATAATTTGGGTTTAGGGAAGTATGTTTCTCACAACTTTGCATAAAAACCCTGTTAGAATTGCAACTCGATCCGATTATCATTGTCCTTCTGCTCCTCTGTTTAAGAATGTACAGATTCTTACTATTTATAACATTAACATTTTTCAAATTTGTATTTTTGTTTATAAGATTTATGTATGTCAAGAAGATATACCAAATAATTTCACCCATTACTTTAAATCTAATATGCTGCCAGTTTCGTTCTTACTTTACTCGCCAGAGTCCAGCGCTTCGTCTTCCTAAATATCAGAGCAGAGGTCGGTTTTCTCTCCGTTACAGGGGAGCTAACGTTTGGAATGATTTTTCACATTTGATAACAGGCAGGCTTTCTGTAAAAGACTTTGAACGTTATTTAAGACTTGACTTAATTAAAGAATTGTGATCGTCACTTACTAGTTGTTACATATTTTATTCAAATTTCCATTAATACTTTGTAGATGTGTTTTTTTTATTTTATTTCTTTTTCTGTACGACCATATTCCTACATTTATGATCAGTTGACTGTATTCTTTGTATTATTTATATGTATTGGGTGGAGGCTTTATATTAGTCCGTCGGGCTTTTGCCTTTTCCTGCACTGTTATTATTATTATTATTATTGTTTTTCTCAATATATTTGATCTGTATTTATTTGTGCAAATTTAACTACCGGGAACTGTTCACATGATCAAGGAGGACCATCAACCTAACAATGGATCGTGAGTGCCCTGATGGCCGCTTGCTATTCAGAGGGCTGAGTGATATTAGCAATAACAGCATTGTAAGAGGGGGACAGTTGGACACAGAGGCTCCGCCCCTGTTTAATGATCTCTTCACAAAGATGGCCTCCTTCACTCCTCTCTCAAACCCACCAATTTTCAGTCAGTTCATCTGGACAGTTTCTTTTTTTTTTTTTTTTTTTGTGCTGAGACGTTTCGCCCTTCATCCAGAAGGCTTCATCAGTCTGAAGAAACTCCAAGCAAAATTGTGTCTCCCCCCAACAGCTTACCTGACGATCCAGATGACCCGACTGAAAATTGTTAGATTTTAGAGCATGGACTTTGGTGTCCTCTTTCAAACCATCGTTCCTCTCCATCAAGGATGATGAAGGTGAAGAATGGATGAAGATGTTCACGTTCTTGATAGAGGAACTTTGCTTTGAGAGAGGAGTGAAGGAAGCCATCTGAGAAACCATAATTAAACGGGCAGGCCTCCGCAATGCTGTTCCTGCTATCATCACTCAACCCTCTGTGAATAGCAAGGGGGCGTCAGGGCACTAACGATCCATTGTTAGTCTGATGGTCCTCCTTTATCATGTGAACAGCTAGTTCTGGATGTCAACAACAAACTGGTTGATCCACTATGAGAAGGTGCTATTTATAAGACTGAGTTTGTTGCAGCTCCTCAGACTGAAGAAGTCCTTTGGATAAAAGATCAAACGTTTCAACAAGAAGAATCCGTCCAGAGGAACTGACTTTGTTAGATATAAAAACAAAAGTTTTGCAAATTGCCGTACGTTTTTAAGTGCTTCTTGCTGAGCAGCAAAGTGGGGAAATGGAAATAATCATTGATCCGTCCATCTTGTGAGCTGGATAACTTGGAAATTAGGTGACGTAGTACCAGTAACTTCCATCTGGACGTAAGAATGGCCCATATGGAAAATGGGGTTGCCAGGTCAGTTTCCAAGATGATT